CCGGGGCTGGGTCCGCCATGGCAGCCCGCAGCGGGCGCCGCGCTCAGCCTAGGGCCGCATGGGCGCGGGCGCAGTGCGCAGGCGCCGCGCGGTGCACGCCGGGAGTCGCAGTCTTCCGCTCGGACTTCCAGAGGGTTCCGCCTGGGAGGCCGCAGCTTAAGTGCCCTTCTTCGAGGCCAGTTCTTTCACCCAGGCCTTTCCATTAAGCGGCATCCCCATTCTTTTCCATTTTTTGAGAAGGAAGGGCTCACTAAATTGCTAGATTGGTCAGGTTGGGTTTGAACGTACTATCCTCCTGACTCCGCCTCTCCAGAATACTGGGATGACCTCGCTGAGCCATCTCCCCGGCTCCTTCTAATCTTTCTTGATGGTGGCCAGGAGAGTCACAATTGCTGACAGCATCTCTGAACGTAAGATTTGAGGGGCCTAGAGGGCCTCTTCATCCAAGCCCAAGGGCCGACGCACAAGGCTGGTGTTGCCCAGCCATTTGCCCCACAAAGGTTGTGCCCCTCGAGGCTGAGGAGGGAGAGCTGTCTCTGCGGTTGAGACTGGTTGATTGATTTTTTTGGCGGAACTGGGGATTGAACTCAGGCCCTTGCGCTTGCCAGGCAAGTGCTTATTCTGCTGAGCCATCTCCCCGGTCCTTGAGGTTGAGATTTAAATGCAGCACACCTGCTCCTGGGCGCGGTGGAGCCCGCTAGTCATCCTAGCACTCTGGGAGGCTGGGTCAAGAGGATCGCCAAACTTGAGCTGAAAAGGCTGGCGAGTTAACAGCGCAAAGGCCCTAGGTTCAAGCCCCACCATGGGGGAGGAATTGTAGCAAACAGCCTCCTCCCTTGCTGGCTTCGGGACACTGAGGCACTCCTCTGCACCTCCAGCTGAGCCAAGCAGAGCGCGAAGAAGGTGAAATGGGCCTGCGGCCGCTCCCGGGCTCTCAGATCCAGTCCCGCTCTGCGGTGACACCGTCCGGTCTGGGACCTGCAAGACCCGCACTTGCCACCCCGCGCCCGCCGGGCTCCGCCTGAGCGTGCGTGCGTGCGTGCGTGCGCGCGCGCGAGGCCCCGCCTCCTGGCGCCAGCGGTGCGGGGTCCCGCAGACTCCCCCTGCCTCGCGCACTGTTCCCACCCGCCCACAGTTGCGCCCTCTGATGCGGCGCGTCGAGGGCAGCGTTTCTAACGACCGTGGGGTGGCGTCCCCCGGCCCTGGCGTGGCCCTCGCAGAGCCAGACCGGGGGTCCACGCTGCCCGTGCGGCTGCTCAGGGACACCCCGGCGGCAGCTCCGGACACCGGCAACGCCCAGGGCTTCCAGATGAAGATGGACGCCCACGGCTTTGCCCCCGAAGATCTGCAGGTGCGGGTGGATGGGCAGAACCTGGTGGTCACCGGCCAGCGGCGAGAGGAGCACCGCGATCCACGTGGGGGCAGCTACTCCCTGAAGCAGAAGGTGTACCGCCAGATGCAGCTACCTGGGGACCTGGACCCCGCCGCCGCCACCTGCTGCCTGACTCCCTCCGGCCAGCTGTGGGTGCGAGGCCCATGCAGACCGCCGCCTCTGCTTGAATCCCCGCCCGGCCCGTCCAGGAGCCTCAGCCGCCAGGGATCGAAGAAGGGCCCCAGCACCGCCTAAGCCAATAAACGAGTGTGCAGCAGCCTGTGTCACTGTCTTCTGGGGCCGGGCTGCGGCGCACACCTGAATCCCGGCCACAGGCTGTGCGGGAGCGTCACGAGTGTAAGGCCAGCACAGGCAGCTCTGCGAGACTTTGTCTTAGAACAGGAACAAGTGGCGGGGAGGTGGCGTCCTGGGCTCACGCCCAAATGTCCCCCCAGCAGAAAAGGGTGGAGGCAGAATAGGCACCCCAAGGCCAAGCAAGGCCTCCCCCAGAGTCAGAAACTGGGATGGTGTGGCCTCTGGCCTGCGGTGGCTCCAGCAGGGGGCAGCAGTGTAGGGAGGGCCCACTTGTCACCTGTCGCAGAGACCAAGCTGGAGGAATAAGAGGAACTGCTCCAGCTGCCTGGAGGGAGCTGAGGAAGCAGTGCAGACTTGGCCTCGTGAGGAGGCGCCATTCCGGAAGAGGTCGGGGAGGCCTGGTACAGACCAACCCACCCTACGGGCGGCTGGGCGTGGCGGCCCACACCTGCTGTCCCAGCACTCTGCAGGCTGAGGGCAGCAGGATCACTGTGAGTCTGCAGCCAGCCAGAGCTAAAGTGAGACCCTATCTAAAAAATACAGAACTCTGAAAAACAAATCCCATGGACATCCTTTCTGGTGCCCCGGAGCCCAGCGATCTACACCCCACATCCCTCAACCTAAGCTGGCAGGGGCAGGGTGGGGAAGAGGCAAGGGCGAGCCCCCTGACTTCAAGTGTGGCTGGCCCCAGATAGGTGCCTAGCAGGGCTGTAGACGCCATGGCTCCCAGTTACCACGACTACCAGCATCCGGGACAGGGAGAGCTTTTGCTCCCGGAGATGTGGTGGTAGGCTTTAGAGTAGCTCTGGTGACGCAGAGAGGCCGAAGTCTGGCAAACTCTGCCAGAGAAAGACAGAAGACGAGGGTGAGGTCCATGGACCGGCTGACTATATTGACAAGATACTGATTGGTTACATGTGAAGAAACATACAATACAAAACACAGAAAAGTTGGTTCCATCCCTGCTGTGTCCCCTACCCCCAATACTCATCGTGATTTGGTCAGAACAGAGCTCAGAGCAGAGGCCAGAGTGACCGAGGGGGACGTCTGGGCCATGGGTGTGGCTGTCACAAGGACACTGCAGTAATGCCGTGGTCCCCTCCTGCCCCCAGCTGGCCGGGCCCAGGGGCTGGATCCCTTCCACGGCCCAGGGCTGGCCCACTGTCCTGGGTAGGGCCACTCCTGACAAAGTGAGGCCTGGGTGCTCCGAATCTGCCTTCCAGCAAGAAGATACAGAGGTGTCGCTGTTCCCGCTGTCCGTGGACGAGGCGGGCACAGGAGCATGGGCTATTCCTGCAAAGGACCAGCAGCAGAGCAGCAGGAAGGGGCAGTGGGAAGAGCAGAGACCATATATATTAAAAAAGTGACTTAAGACTTAAAATCGAATTAGTATTTGTACAGAAGGTGCAGGTGGAACAATTCCCCAGCCCAGGGTCAGAGTCAGACAGAGAAACCACGAGCCTCCAGCCCCGCAGCCCAAGGCGGCGTTAGGTGCGGCTGGCCAGCGTGGACTCTGGTGGTCGTGGCTGGGGTCTGGTGCTGGCGGGGGCTCAGTTGCTGCAGCACTGGCCCCGGCTGGCTGGGCTGCTCTCCTGCAGGTCCACGCCTCGGCTCCGGCCCGGCGCGCCTGCTGCGTTCTGGGGCTCATTCTTAGGCAGCTTTTTTGCTGTGGGAGACGGAAAAGGAGTTTGTGGGCTTCTCCCGTGGGTGGAGCAGGCCTTCACCACCCCTCTGGGGACCATGACACAGAAGCTGGGCACAGCCTGAGCGCCTCACCTAGAACCTCAAAACTATAAGTGATAAGGTCAGGATTTGAACCTGGAACCGGGGAGAGTGAGAAGATGCTAAGAAGGGGAGGCCAGGATAAGAGGGCTGACTCTGGCCTGGCTCAGTGCAATTCAGGATGAGTGGCCCTGCTCTCGGCTCAGATGTGGGGACATCCGTGCTGTCCACATAGGAGTCCCAGGTGAAGGGGCCCCACACGCTGCCCAGGACGAGGGCCACTCACCGATAGCCATGAAAATCTCGTTCACGTTCATGGCGGTCTTGGCAGATGTCTCCATGAACAGCAGGCTGTTGTCCTCGGCATAGGCTTGTGCTTCCTGGCAGAAGGGGGACGGTGTGGGTAGCCCTAAGCCCAACCACTGAGCCTTCCCCACACGCACCCTGGTGCCTGCTGGGCCTCAGACCTGGGCCTCCTCTCCTCTCAACTTCCAGAGCAGCAGCTGAGGCCCCCCGGCGTCCCCGCACCCCCTTCCTGCCCCCGAGGCTCTCCTGGGAAGCTGCCTCACGCACGCACACTTGCATACCCAACGCTGGCGCCACTGCTTGCAACCATGCGGCCTGGACAGACAGCGATACTGTGCCCAGGCCGGGGGGTCCCATGCCGCAGAGGTGGACAGGGCTTCAGGCAGAGGCTGGGTCTCGGCCAGTGAGGCCTGAACCCATGCTCCGCACCTTCCTGGACAGTCCTGAAGACAAGCGCTTCTGGGCTTAAAACCCAGTTTTTAAAAAAAACTACACTGAGGCCTGCCATGTGCAGCTCACCCCCGAGTCAGGGAAAGGGGCAGCTCTGCCCTGGCGCCCGCTGTGTCTACCTGGAACTCCACAGCCCGCTTGCTGGCCAGGTCGGCCTTGTTCCCTGCCAGGGCAATGACGATGTTGGGGCTCGCCTGCCGCTGCAGCTCCTTCACCCAGTTCTTGGCCCGCGCGAAGGTGTCCTGAGAAGAGAGGCCAGGGTCAGGGGCGGGGCGCCTGCGCGGGGCGGGGCTTGGGGACGGTGCCCGGGCTCCCAACAGCTGCTCCCAGCAGACAGGCTGGGACCCACCCCAGCCCCGGAGGGGGTCGCACCGTGTTGGTGATGTCGTAGACCACGATGGCTGCTTGGGCGCCCCGGTAGTACATGGGTGCCAGGCTGTGGTACCGCTCCTGGCCAGCTGTGTCCCAGATCTCAAACTTAACCGTCGTGTCGTCCAGGCAGACCGTCTGTGTGAGGAAGGCCGCTGCGGAGGGGGCCACGGGCACATACAGGTCAGGGCCCCCAAAAAACCACCGGAAGGGGTTCATGCTGGGAAACCAAGACTGAGGGCCCGACTCTGCCACCCGCAGAGCAACACACAGCATCCCTGACCTTTACTCTCCTGGGGACACCACCCCAGGCTCCAGACACTCCACTGGCTCGCCTGCCCTCAGCTCTGGCCGGCCCCATCCTGTGTGGTCACCTTGAACTTGGACCTTCAGGGACCATGGGTCTGAGATGGGAACATGGGGCACAGGGCCAGTGCCCCAGCAGGGGCTAGAGCTATGACAGTCAGCTGGGATCCCCTGTGCCTGACTCAGCTCTCCTGAGCAGGCTGCCCCCATTTGCTCCACTTCCTGTCAGCTATGGACTGGGCAGGCGTGGAGGAAGCAGGAGGACTGCTGATGCAGATGTTTGTGCCATGTGCACAGAGGAGGTGACTGGAGCCCCAGGCTGGCCCTAGCTCTGCCTCATGGCCTCTGCTGAGATGCACAGGCACCGGCCATCACAGCTGCCTCCCAATCCCCTCTGCATCCCCTGGCCGCTCACCTCCGATGGTGCTCTCCTGGTACTCGTGGAACTGGCCCTTGACAAAGCGGAGCACAAGGCTGGACTTGCCCACCGCTGACTCCCCCAGTAGGACGAGCTTGAACTGGCAGATCTTGTTCCCCGTGGCCGGTCCGTTGGGGCGAGCTGTGCCTCCCCGACCCGCCATGGCCTGTGCGGCTGGCTGTCGTGGTCCCTGGGAGCGTGAGGCAGGGGCCGGTGCTTCGAGGAGAGGCACTTGGTGGGGAAGGGCCTCCAACTGCAGGGACAGGGCGGGTCAGCCTCACTGAGCTGCATGGACAGCTGGCTGGCCACCCGCGCAGCGCAGGCTCCGGGTTCCGGGGAAGTGCCGGCTGCCTAGCACGCGCCCACACGCTCCCTCCCGGGTACCAACAGGGGCGGCATGGACAGAGCGCCCCTCAAATAGCACCCACAGGCTCTTGGGTCAGCACACAGTGCACACTGCGATCCCAGCACACAGGAGGCTGAGGCAGGAGGATGTAGTGTGAGGCCAACCTGAGCTACACAGCAAGACCCCATCTTGAAAATAAAAGCCCAGGAAGGTACTAGGATTTAGGGCAACAGCCATGCACCTGCAGTGAGGCCCCAGCACAGCGGCCTCTTGGTGTGGAAGCCCAGGATGAGAGAAGCCCCTTGGCACATACTCTGTGGCGGGAATCCAGCCAGCTACCTCTCTGAGGGGCAGAAACTGCACACACAGAACAGACCAGCGCGGGGTGCACCCCAAGGGGCTCCACGCACAGTGGACAAGCAGCTAAACGCATGGGCGCCAGCTCTCCCATCCCCCTTCACGGCAGATGTGGGGGAGCCAGGGCATGATGGAGGGGGAGGCGGCGGCGGCGGCGGCTGAGGCCTGTGCCCTCGTGCCTGCATCTCAGTCCTGGGGACTGCTGGAGGTACCAAAGCAGCACTCCAGCAGCAGGGACCCAGGTGGCGGCTACTCAAGGCACCCACGAGCCGGAGCTGCCCCCAGCAAGAGCGGGCCGCCCTGCGGCAGGACATGGAGGACGCCATGGGTAAGGCGCAGAGCCATCATCCCGGCCTACAGCAGCATGTCAGGAAGAGTGAGTCACTGGCCAGGAGCAAGGATTTCCTCCAGGGACAGCACCAGAGCAAAGGGCTGTGAAACGGGCCGCCCTCACCCCAGAGGACAAGGAAGGAAGTGGGGGCGCTTCAGTATGCCAGGCAAGGCACTGCTCTGCCAGCCAGGCAGCCACTGTGCCGACTGCCCGGTTGCCGGGCTTCCTCTCAACACCCTGAGTTCTAGGAATTCAGCGCTGACCCACAGGAATGGCTTTCGAAGCCCGTTAGCATTTGCTGAGCACCTGACTACAAACGTCAACTCCGAGACCTAAGCATAAACTACTCCCTACCTTCAGACAAGCAATTGACACTCTGTACACAAATGGGCATTGCACCACCAGACTCATGCCTCTATCCCTTCAGGGCCGCCCCACGGAAGCTGCCTGCATGGGACCCTTGGGTTCCCACAAGGATGGACACCCCAAGGTTAGTAATGCCCCCCTAAGGCTGGAGAAGCAGAAGCAAATAGCAGCGAACCTTCCTAGGACCCTTGGGCCAGCTGCGAGCCCTGCCCAGAGGGTACACACCAGGAAAGGGGCTCTGCCAGACTGCAGACCGAGGAGGCCGCTGAGGACCCCCACGGCTGGCGAGCAGAGGCACTGGCTCCCAGAGAACCTGGCGGGGTCAGAGGCTTTCAGGAGGCACCAAGTCACCACGGAGTCCAGAGCTGCCTAGGACAGACACAACAATCTCACTTCCCCTCCTCCAAACTGGAGCCTACCCAGCCTCCTGGATTCTATAGCAGTGCCAGGACGTGGGGTGCCCTGTTCCGCATGTCCCCCAATGCTCTGCAGAGGGACCCTGAGCTCCTCACCACCTTGTGCTCAGGAAGCATGGGGTCAGGTGGGAGGCCAAAACATGGGGTCTGCTCCTCCTGGGTGGCCACACTGCAGCACCCAGGGTATGAGAACAGCTGGACCCAGTAGCAGCAGTCTCTGTGTCCTTGGCACACGTCTATGAGTGACTCTGGGGACCTGATGGGCTGGACCTGGGACTCCAAGAGCTAGAACTGGGGCCACAGGATGACATGGGGTCACGCTGAGCCCCCAGGTGTTACTGTAGCGTCCTGTCCCCCGGGGCAGGCCCCCTCTCCAACTCCAGCTGCCTCTGTGGACTTCCCAAGGAGCCGGTGAGTTCTGCTGACTGGTCTCTTGGGCTTCCTGTTTGCCTGCAGACTTCGTGTGCATAGCGGCACTGCCAGACAGCGGGCGACAGGACCTAGGCTGTGGGGTGGGGCTGGCGGCAGCCCTGGGGTCACAGCAGCAAGGTGACCAGGTTCAAAGGCTGTCTAAGAGCGGAAGCCTGGGCAGCTGCACAGTAGGTTAGGGAGGCCCCTGGGCCCCTGACGCACAGGAAGGAGCTGAGCCTCAGGGCAGCGCTGCCCGCTTCATGCTGGTCATGGGCCAGAACAAGGGAGCGGCTGGGCCTCCCCAGTGTGGCCAGGATGCTGGGGGCTACGAGGCAATCCAGCTGTGACCTTGGCCTAGTCACACGCTGATGCTATCAGCAGCCATCAGCAGCCTGGCTCCTTATCTACAAACTGGAACTTTTCATACTTATTGCCCTGGGTGGCTGTGAAGATTGGATGACAGCTTGTGCAGCGTGGCAGGTGGAGGTTTCCGGAGAGGCCCCTACCAGGCGAGCCATCAGGCAGCCAGGGCCCAGCCCTGCGTGGCCAGGTACAATGGAAGCGGGGCCAGGAGGTCACCGCCCGGGGTCACACAAGTAGGCAGTGAGCGGCACAGCCCCCACGCAGATTCACTCGGCCAGCTCCCTGCCAGCCATGGAGACCCTCAGCCCAGAGAGGTGAGGCCGCCTCTGAGGGGACTCCCGCCTGCGCTGACAAGGCAGGCTCACAGGGAAGAAGCACAAGCTCCCACTGCAGCCCAAACGTGCTGCTGTGGGCCGGCTCACTCCACAGCTGCTCACGAAAGCAAACTGCCCCGCCCTAGCTGTTCACATCTGGACACTTGCATTCAACCCTGCCCTCAAACGTGAAAGTGACACATTGGTAGCAAGGACAAAGCTGCTGCTGATGTGGGGTTTCGCACATAACAATGTGAAATTAAAGCTTGGAAGTGGTTAAGAAGCCGGTCTAGCTCTCCTGCGTTCATCTTCGGCTTCTCTGCAGCTCGCAGAGATTCAGATGTTTTTAGTAACAGCCAAAAGATGGAGGTGCAGCTCAGCTGGCATAGGGCTCGCCTGGCACCAGCAGCTCAGATGGCCTTGCTACGCTGACTGAGGAGGGGCTGAGGTCACGGGTACGCCGCACATGCGCATGCACGCACGCACACACCCCTCCTGCAGACCACGAAGCTCATGCCTCCGTGCTTGCACTCAGTCATGGTGCTGAGGCTTTCTGGAGTACAGGTTACGGTGCAAGGCTTCTCCTCTCCACTGCTCATGCATGACTCCATAGAGAGCGAAGGGATGGGACCAGGGACATGTATCCTCCCATGGCCAGGCCAGGCCTGGCCACGAGCAGGGAGAGTCGCTGGGAGTCAGCACAGGGCACCTCACCCAGCTCTAGCCTGGCAGCGGGCAGGGAGGTGACAGGCACCGGCAGCAGAAGGGCGGACGCTGCCTGCAGTTGGCCATAGAAAGTGACTCCTGGAGACGGAACCCATGCCTGCCCACCCAGCTCCCGTGAGTGGGCTGAGGCCCAGCCTCCGCCCTTCAGGGCCAAAGCAGGGAGCTGCAGCCCCTCCACCCGAGTCCGCAGATACCCAGCCCCAGCCCCCACCCAGGCCTGCAATGGGTGCCAAGGAGCGCAGGCCCAGGACACAAGGCCACGCGCCTAGGCACCACCCAGGACAGCACAGCCAGTTCCTGTGGCTCGTCCCTTGGGCTCAGGCCAAGAAGTCCAAGGTGGAAGCCACCCTTGAGAGAGACACTGGCAGGCGCTCCCGAAGCTCCGAGCCTTCCGTGTTCTCCGCAGTGCATGGGACCCGGCCTGTCCTCAGAGGAGACTCCAACAACTGATCCTTGTGCCTCAGCCTCCTAAGTGCGGGGATTACAGGTGTGCTCTGTCTAGGCATTCTGGGAGGCCCCTGAATCCCAAGATGATTTTCTAGCCCTGCACCTCTCCCTCGCACAAGCCCCCGGTGCACAGTGTGAATGGGACAGGCATGGCACCTCTTACTAAGGAGAGGTCCGGAAGGACCGGCTAGCCCCCAGAGCTGCCTGGCCCTCCCCGGGCAGTGAGTGCCATAGGACCCTACTGACCGGCACCTCACCCCTGCAGGGCTCAGCATCCCTGCTCCAGGAGGAGCTCTCTGAGTGAGGACAGCTGCCACTGTGTTGCCCCAGTCCAGGCCTCCAAGAATGTCCACTAGAAGTCACTGGGGGTGGCAGCACACCTGTCCCCGGTCACTCAAGCTGGCAGCTTGTGGATGCCGTGGTGGTGCACAGTGGCAGTGGTTGCCAACAGCTGCCCTTCCCCTCCTCCTCCACGGACACTGCAGTGGACCCCTGCAGTGGGCTCCTTGGCCAGGTCACCCACCACGCAAAGTCAAAGTTCTGGCTGTCCCAGCAGTAGCACAGACATCTACAGACAGCATTTCAGGGTGGTCTTTCCTTCTGCACTTTAGCTGAATGAAATGCGGGACAGTACCAGGTGAGGGCTCGGGGGACAGAGGGGCCACACTGCAAAAGACAAATCACGCTTCCTCTGTGGTGCCCCCTTTTCAGGGAGTTCTGTAGGGACCAACCTTGGAGAATTCAGAGGTGAGAAGCCAAGAACCCGGGGGGCCACTGCGGCCCCTCTGTCATCACCCCTATAGCACAGGCCACAGGTGTGCATGGGCGTGAAGGGCCATGAGGCATGAGGAGGCCCATCCCCGGGGACCCTACCCCAAGGGAGCCACAGCCAGCAAGGGCACCGGCTTCTTGACAAGGCCTCGGTCAGTGCCACTTGCCTGGCCACATGGCTTCAGCCAAGCCCTGTGCCCTGTGGCTAGGGTGGTGGGGACTCACTGAAGCTCCTGCTGCCCACTGGAGGGCCCTGGGATGACAGGGTGGGGCCCACCAGAAGGGAAGGCTGGTCAGGGTGCCTCTTTCCAGAGCTGCCTCAGCCAGCCAGCCTGGGTTCCTGAGGAGTGGGGACAAGCACCTCACCGCATACCTCAGAGCTGCAGGCAGCAGGCCCAGGGACCTCCTTCATCCCCAAACTCAGGAATGGGACATGAGTTCCTTCCGACGCCAGCAAAGGTGGTGACACTGGAAATCGGGCAGTGGCTCTGAGCACTCTGAGGACCAGGAGGGCAGCTGGAGAGACCAGCCTCCTCCACGCCACTTGAAGGGACACACTGGGCTAGGAGCAGAGGCAGGAGGCCTGTGGCCCACTCAGCCTCCAGCCCCACATCCAGAGGTGGCAGCATGGTGGGGCTGCAGCTCCCTCTGTGAGACGGGTGCATTCGGGGCAGAAGCCAAAGTGGGGGCACAGACCTGGGCACGCTCAGGGAACTGAAGAGCCAGAGCGCGGGCAGGTTTGGCGGGAATTCAGCCCTGAGACAGGGGCCTCCGTGCGCCCCCCTCCTTGTCCCGGTGTGCCGCAAACTGAGAAGTAAACCCCAAGTGTGCCCTGCTTGCGTGGACCAGGCAGAGGAACTGGAGGAGCGGAGCGGCGCCAGGGCCAGCGCCACCTGACCCCACACGGTGTCTCCAGTGACTCTGGGAGGAACAACCCTTCCGTGCCCAGATCTCCGTGTGAAGCACAGGGCAGACGCGAACGTTGGCTGGATGCACAGCAGCCTCGAGAAGAAGCCGGGCTCTGGGATCAGGCAGGAAATATCCTGAGAGCGCCTCGCAGGGCCAAAGAGCAAAGGCGCCCCCAGCCCAAAACACAAGCGAGCGCCCCTAGGTGTGTGTGTGTGGGGGGGGCTGCTCAGGAACAATCCACAATCAGAGAAAGGAGTCATCCGCTACTCTACACAAAGAATGGAGTAAATAAATGCGGGGTGGAGAAGGGAGAAGGAAAGAACCGAGATGCACTATGCAGGTGTACCGATTGCCCACTGTGAACCTAACCCTATGATCTACAGATATGGGCCAATACAAATCAAAAATAACATAAAATAAAAAGGGCCTGAAAGCTAAACAGACAAACGTGGGAGCACGTCTTGTGCAGCTTATAGCTCAGGTCATCAGTGGACCTCAGAGACGAGGCTCAACTCTCTGTGCCCCAGCCCGGGCTCCCCAGGGACACAGACTTCCCAAGAGGGGGGAGGTCAGGGTTAGACCCCCGGCCAGGCATGACTTGGCCACGCGATTGTGGCCGCCATCAACTGGAGGCCACTTAGGCCAGCCGTGGCTGCACCGCCACTCTTTTCTCAGGCCTCCCCTGCAAGCGCTGGTGACAGATCGTGTGTAATGGTGCTGAAAACCAGGCCAGGCCAACTTAGGCTGTTGAAGAGACACCTGGCTAACACGTCTGAAAACACCGGAATCCAGGGTCGACGGCAGCTCTCCTAAGTGCATACTCGAAGATATGTGTGCTGACCACGCGCAGGGAGGCCGGGGAGCCGGCCCACGTGTAGTAGATTCGGTCTCCTCTCCTTCCTTTCACCGCTGTTGCAGATAGAGCCCAGGGCTGCGCTTGCACTCCCCACCCAGAGAGCTCCCAGCAGGCTCGGGCACCCACAGACCACACCCACCAACTCTAGGGGGGCCCTGCGGGGTGCTAGCCCGGGTAGGCACTGCAGGCTGAGAGCTCCAGTGCTCAGTCCTGGCGGGCAGCAGGCCGGAACCACGCCCCCCGTCTGCGCTCCTCCCTCTGGAAATCGGCGTTCCCACAGCAGTCCTTGCTTCCACCTTCCCTTTGCTCTGCTCTCCATCCAGCTACTTCTAGGGTACGCACTAGAGATGCCAAAAGTGCGGACCCGGGGCTCCACACACGAGCTCCGGGAGCGCACGGAGGAGCTAGGGTCAGGACGCTCCAGTCCATGCCTGCTGGGAACCTGGCCAGAGCCACAACAAGGGCTCACAGCCAGAGAAGGGGGCGCAGAGAACAGGGATACAGGGTGGGAGAGCGCCCAGGGAGAGAGGGAGGGATGGACAGGCTTCCGCGGGGCAAGGAGTGCCGCCAGAGGAAGCGGCGACCTCCAAGCTGAGCCCCACGGGCCGCCAGGCAGAGCACGGGAGTGCAGCTCTGGCGGCTGTTCTGTCCCACACACTGGCAAAGAGCCTCTCCTGACTGCAGAGGACCCCTTCGGACCACTTCCGCACCGTCCACCCCGCTCTCCCGCCAAGGCTCGGGAAAGCACCGCCACTTGATTTTTGGGCAGCATAGTGTTGTTTTGGAGCCAGTGTCTCACTATGTAGCCCAGGCTGGCCGCAAACTCACAGCGATTCTCCTGCCTCACCGTCCGGAGCGCTGGGATGACAGACAGGCGCTCCTGTGCCCAGGTGGACAACACAGTTCTTATTTGTTTATTTATTTTAGAGTTTTGAGACAAGGTTTCATTATATAGTTCAGGCTGGCCTTGAGCTCCGGATGATTCTCCTGCCTCCGCCACCCGCATGCTGAGATTACAGGCCTGTACCTACTGTGCCTGGTTTTGGGTAGCTCAGTATTTGTTTGTTTGTTTATTTATTTATTGAGGCAGGGCCCACCACATAGCCCAGGCTGGCCTCAAAGTTGTAGTAGGGCGCCAGCCACAGCCTCCTGACTGCTGGGATGTGTGCCACCACTTTTGGCTTTGGACATCCTAGTTCTTATTTTTAAACCCAACCTGACACACTGCTTCTCTAAGAGCTCCGACAAAAGTTCCAAGGGGGGAAATGCAAGCCCAGGAGTCTGGCAGGAGCCCGGAGCAGCCTGCGGCTACCACCACGCGGGCACCCAGCTTCCTCGCCAGCTGCAACCATGCGAACCTGCACTTGGACCCAGGCAGACAGACCTGCCTGCTACCTGGAAAGTGGGCTGCAGCGGGAGGCGCCCGTCAAGCAGTCTCCTCTGTGAAGTGGGACACAGCCCACAGCAGCTCTGCCCAAGATCCAAGAAATGAGAGGATGCATGAAAGAAGCCAACAGGCAAGGGCCCCGGTGCCCAAGTCCCAAGGGCGCCCTTAGGCCCACCCACTGGCCTGTGCAGACCTGCCCGGTTCCTGCGCCTCCTTCCCACTGTCTCCAATTCCAGCAGTATTTAGGCTCTACTGCCCTGGAAGGGACAGGCTCTCGGAGGTCAGGGGACAAGCCCAAAGTAACGCACTCGGGAAGGAGTAGAGTGGGCGGAGTGCAGGTCTGGCTGGCTCCACAGTTCTACCCCGCGCCCTCTGCCCCACCATACTGCCTCAGTTTCCCAAGGGGGGGGTCACAAGATTTTCTAATAAGTTCCTGCCTGGTGGGACTGAGTCCATTTCTGACCTTGCTCTGGTTCCTGGTAAACTCTGATGAATTCTTCCCGCTTCTAGCTGAAGGCTCTGGGGAAGAACCAGAGCAGATAAGTGAGTGTGCGCGCGTGTGTGTCTCCCAGGCTGGCTCCAGAGGTTCCCAGCCCTTACTCAGCAGTAGGACCCTGTGCTCTCTCACTTTTACTTTCATTTTTCTGCAATCTGATTGTAAGGTTTCCAGGAGAGTAACTGCACAAAGATTATCAGCAAGCGCCTGGCCCGTGTGGACTGGCAGAGGCAGAAGAGGCAGGAGAAGAGAGATGTCATGAGGAGCCCACCGGCCAGGAAGCTGACAGTGAGCAGCTGGGCTGGCCCACTCGGTTAGCAGAAGGCCAGAGGGGAGCGGCCCAAGTCCAAATCTGAGATTGTCTCTGAGGTGCACACACAGACCCTACTACCACTGCCACCAAAACCCTCGGGGGACAGCGAGTAAGGAGAATTCTAAGAGCCCGCAATTTAAAAACACTAGTTGTTCCTCCTGCAGCGGAAAGCCAGAAAAAGGCCAACTGGTTCCGAGAGGCAGAGGAGAGGCTGCCAGACCTGGAGCCCCAGCCGGGCCCGTGGAGGAGTGCCAGTCTGCCTGCTGGGACCCTGTAATTTCTGAACGGGAGAAGCTGCACAACCACCCAGGCCCAGGTTCCCTCACTTTTCTAAAGCCTGTTGTAGAGTCAGAGCCGGAAGGTTCACCCACACAGAGGGAGAAGCGGCTCTGGGAAGCTGGCGGGCCTCATCCCAGACTCCCAGTGCATGCTCCAGCTCCAAGTGTGCCCCCGGAGCACGAGGCCCAGCACAGCGCGGTGCCACACTCCATAGGCACATGCCCTCTCTCCACACCGAGAGCCAGGCTGACCAGCCTCTGACCAGCCCACACGGCTGGACGGTTGCGGTGCAGCTGGTGACCCTAAACAGGGCTTTCTTTTTGTGGCTGTTGTCCAATAAAAAGGAAAATAAGTGCACCGTGGGTCTAGCTCAAAACATTACAGTAGGGCTGGGTGTGGTGGCACATGCCTGTCATCCCAGCACTGGGGAGGCTGAGGCAGGATGTTTGCTGCGAGTTTGAGACCAGCCTGGGCTACAAAGTGAGCTCAAGGCCAGCCTAAACTGCACAGCAAGACCCTCTCTCCAGAAGATAAAAAAAAAAAAGTTATGGCAGTGCCAGGGATGTAGCTCAGCACCACAGAACCTGCCTGGCAAGCTCAAGGTCCTGAGTTTGACTCCCGGTACAAAAAAAAATATATAGAAACCAGAGCAAGGCACAGTAGCTCACATCTGTGTTTCCAGAATCCAGGAGGCTGGGGCAGGACTTCTGAACTATCCCGCCAAACCTCCTCTCAAAAACAACAGCAAGCTGTCGGAATCTGACACTAGTCACTGTCCAGAGGGAGGCCAGACGACCAGAAAGCAGAACCTGCAGCTCTGCTCCGCAGCAGCCAAAGGCAGCTCAAGTGGCCCAGAGTGCCGAGGTGCTGCAGAAGCCCACGGCTTGTGCCGCTGGCCTCCCTCCTCCGCTGCAGGTAGCAAGGCTCAGTCCTGGTCCGGGCCAGGCTACTCCTCATTAAGGCACAGTCCACAGTCTGTACTTTGGCCATGTAACAAAAAAAAAAAAAAACACCCAAACCCACCTTCCAGCTCAGTCAGAGACAGCAGCCATTTCACACTTATGTCCCAAGCCACCAACCACAAGGGCCATGTGTCCAGAGCTGAGGTGTCGGGGCAGTTAAGAGTGCAGGGTGACCACTGTGATCTCAATTTATTCCTTTCCAGTAGGGCCAAGCCATTATGGGCTGGAGACCTTGGTGTGGCAGCAACTGCTGTTTGGGGTGGCATGCATGTGTGGGGGTCGGAAAGAGGTGCCACCAATCCCAAAGGCCGCGCACTTGGTCTCAGTCTCATCCGGGGCCAGTCAGTAGTCCTCAGAGCCAGCTAGGAAACCACTCACATGCTCTGGGTGGGCAGGGCTGGGCCTGAGCTAGGGAGGAGGAGCAGGAGGAGGAGGGGGAAGAGAAGAAGGAGG